ATCTGTATTCCTGCACAGTAGATCCCTATACACTTCTATGGGGCTATGTACCCAGGCCGGAGATGCTCAGAGTGGTGTATGGTGATGTCATAGGAATGTATTAGGAATGTTTCATCTAGTTAGAGTGATGTCATCACCTGGAATGTTTCACTTTATATTTAGAACTATATCGCGTTCAAGCTTTCTGATGGCTTGGTCACATCCAATTTGAAGACCCAAATCCCGGTTCTAGAGCCTCAACCTCACTCCCTGAATAAAGACAAAAAGAGGATTGGAGAATTCACCAGGGAGATCATTGAGCTGCTGGCTGGAGAGGTGAGTGGTGCCGGGAATTCCTGGACATTATCTAATAAATGAAGAGATGTGTCTGGATGGTGACTGTATCATTGTGTGTGTCAGGTTCCTGAAAGATGTCCGGATGGTACTGTGCATTTCTCCATGGAGGAGTGGGAGCATCTAGAAGGACAGAAGGAGCTCTACAAGGACGTCATGATGGAGAACCGGCTGCCCCTCACATCACCGGGTAAGAGGAGACTTTCATTTCTTGAGTATTGAGGATCCCCCTAGATACACACATCCTCTGATATAAAGACATAGAAACAATGTATTCAGTCAGTGTGTGTGTTTCCTACAGATGGATCCAGGAACAGAAATACCCCAGAGAGATGTCCCCGTCCTCTGTATTCCCGGGACTCCACACAGGAACATCAGGAGATCCCTCAGACCCGTCCTCTGTATTCCCGGGATTCCACACAGGAACAAGAGGAAGTCCCTCAGGAAGATCAGGTAGATGGAGATCAAAACTGTATATTAACTTTGTGACTATTACAAAACAAAGATTGCTCTTATATAATTATTGTGAGGTAATTGAATAAGAGAACATTTAAAATATTTGTATTGCTTTCTGGGTTACGTAGGAGGAAAACAATATTCTCTCTGGAACAGAAACTAGAGATGATCTAGAAGAACCCTATGTGATGGGTGATGAGTCGTGTAAGGAGGAGAAAATCACTTCAGAGATCAGCACAGGTGAGGAATAAACACTAAACCCAGAAAAGAGTAATGGGGGGATGGAAGGTGTCTAGTGGGGGGAGTCAGGAGCCATCAGTCTCTATTAGACTCCGCCTCTCCTCCTCACATCATGTCATTGTGTGTTACCAGCCAAGAGACGTGACCAGTCTCCACCCCCCCACACACACTCTCTGGGGTCTCTCATACATCTCAGTACAGGGTCTCCTCCACACACACTCTCTCTGGGGTCTCTCATACATCTCAGTACAGGGGGCTTCACTCTCATCTCTATTCACAGACCCCGAAGACACTCAGAATGACGTTGAATATGAGGAGGACGTTAACCTTGTGAAGATTAAAGAGGAGGACATTCCTCCAGAGATTGGTACAAGTGAGTAAAAAACACTAAATCCAGAAATGAGTCCCAGATTCTCCTTGTTCAGTCACTACAACAATCTCTTCTTCTCCCCCCCCCCCCCCCCCCC